GGTTGCACTCTAAACCTTTCACCCCCGAAATACGCACGATCGGTAGCGTTACCCGTGGAAGGGGTATTGAGCCCGGGTAAGAAGCGTTACCCGCCAGAGGAAAAACACACACACACAAAAACCGCTCTCATGGGTACCTTTTCCTCCTCTGACAACAGCAGCATCCAATGACGCGCACGCGGCGGCCTCGAGCAGCCCGTGAGACCCGGACCTCGGGGACCTCGCGGCGTCCCTGCCTGCCAAAGCCCCGTCTGCCAACGGGTCCCGCCGCCGCAGGACGCCGCGGGACGCCGACTCCGGCCGAGTGCTTCAAGGAGGCACGCCCCCGGCCCAGACGAAACACGTCGCGCGCCGCCTTCCAACTCCCCCGTCCTCCTCCTCCTCCTCCTCCTCCTCCTCCTCCTGTCCTCCTCCTCCTGTCCTCCTCCTCCTCCTCCTGTCCTCCTCCTCCTCCTCCTCCTCCTCCTCCTCGAAGAAGAAGAAGAAGAAGAAGAAAAAGCCTCCAAGAGGGCCCCAAAATTGCCCAAGACGGCCCCGAGCGACGGCGGTGGCCCAGGAGCGACGGCCTGGTCGGGCAGGAGGGGGAGGCGGACGGACGGACGGACGGCACAGCGGGCGCCCAGGCGGTGCACGGACGGAAGCGGCAAGGCGTGCGAAGGCATCTCCCACGGCCAGACGCCGCACGCGAGGAGCTCGTAGCACACCCAAGGGGCAAAAGGGGAAGGGAGAAAGAGAGGGGGGAGAAGGGGCAACGAAAAAGGACGCGCAAGCAATCACGAGCACATCGTGGGCGTCCCTGCAGGGGCCGTCCACGCGGGGCACTCGCAACTCATGGCCCAGAGGCACGTGCGCGGCCCATGGCGGGGGGCGACCGAGGGACGCACTAAGCTGAGAAGATGGGGACAGGAAGTCTGAGAAGATATTATGGCCCTGGCCTTGAGACCCACCACCACCACCACCATCACCACCACCACCACCACTACCATGGGTAGGCGAGGGGGAGGAGGAGAGGAGGAGGAGGAGGAGGAGGAGGAGGAGGAGGAGGAGGAGGAAGAGGA